CTCACCCCCACGGCCAGCCGCAGCCGTTCCCCTGTGGGCAGCAGCACCAGCACGTCCCTGCTCTCCACGGTCATCTCGCCGTCCCCGGGCTCTTCTCAGAACGGGGCCCCCATGGCCTCCTGCAGGAGACAACGGTCAGGGGCTGAGCAGCCACGTTCATCGTGCCACCCAGGGGGACAGGTGCCACGTGCGTCACCCCGTGTCAGGCCCGCCCCCTGTCTGGCTCCAGCTGGGGCACACGACACCCCAAACTCACCCAGCTACAGACTCCCCAAAGACACACACCGTGGGGAGCCCCTGGCCGGGAAGGCTGGAGGAGCAGCGGGGCCAGGTTCCAGCCCGCGTGGGCCAGGGGCCAGGACAAGGTCCGGGCTGTAAAGGCGGGAGGTGTGCAGGGTGATTGGAATGCAAACAAACAGCCTTGGCTGGACCCGCCTCCCGCCTGCAGCTCAGCGACTCCTCCCTGGCCACAGGGGAGCCCAGGATGCTGACGCTGGGACCAGGGACGCTGCTGAGGTCCCCAGGGAGGCTGGGGGAGGGGCAGAGCCCCACACCCCCTCTCAGCCTCCTGCACACGTCGCTGNGTCAGTCGCTGAGCAAAATGACTGAAAGCGGTGGCCACACCCGCCCCAAACACAGGTCCCCCCGAGGGCCTGCAGATCCCTTCAGCGGCAGAAGCTGATGACCACTCCGTTATGGCCCCGGGTCAGGTCACTGCCCACCTGCCCGTGGTGAGAGCCCGGCCGCAGGTGCAAGCCTGACGGGGGACACCCCTCCGGGGCACAGTGCTGAGCTGCTGCCACCCTGAGGCCTGGCCCTGTGGGAGCCGCTCCCCACTCTGTCGGCCCCATCGCCCCCCCACCCCGCTCCACTCGGACTTGGGGTTCCCCCCGGCGCCCTGCAGACGTCGGACCCGAGGCCGCACCCTGCCCTCTCTCCCCAGGGTGAATGCGAAGCGATTCCTTTTTGGTCGTGTGCNATTAATGCGAAGTGATTCCTTTTTGGTCGTGTGCGTGTCCTTTCCGCTGCAACGTAACGACCTGGCAAAGGCTAAGCAGCCGGGCGGACAGACACCGGCGCTCGGGACATCCCAGCTCACGCGTTCCTGGTGCTCAAATCACTGCTCGGCGGCCCAGGACCACTGACTGAAGGTCAGCAGGACTCCCGTCCTAAGGGGTGACAGTGACCACTCCTTCCTCAGGTGTCAGCCCGTGGCAGGAGGTGAGGGAGCAGGTGCCTCTGCCACCCACGCCAAGACACACTCGGGACAGGGGAGCACAGCCAAGGGCCCTGGGGTGGAGCACAGCCGAGGGCCCTGGGGTGGAGCACAGCCNGTGAATGCGAAGCGATTCCTTTTTGGTCGTGTGCGTGTCCTTTCAGCTGCAACGTAACGACCTGGCAAAGGCTAAGCAGCCGGGCGGACAGACACCGGCGCTCGGGACATCCCAGCTCACGCGTTCCTGGTGCTCAAATCACTGCTCGGCGGCCCAGGACCACTGACTGAAGGTCAGCAGGACTCCCGTCCTAAGGGGTGACAGTGACCACTCCTTCCTCAGGTGTCAGCCCGTGGCAGGAGGTGAGGGAGCAGGTGCCTCTGCCACCCACGCCAAGACACACTCGGGACAGGGGAGCACAGCCAAGGGCCCTGGGGTGGAGCACAGCCGAGGGCCCTGGGGTGGAGCACAGCCGGGGCCCCCTGGGGTGGAGCACGGCCGGGGCCCCCTGGGGTGGAGCACAGCCGAGGGCCCCTGGGGTGGAGCACGGCCGAGGGCCCTGGGGTGGAGCACGGCCGAGGCCCCCTGGGGTAGGACAGGGGCACAGATGTGGACGGGTCCCCAAGGACCAGGAGCCAGGAACAGATGTTGGCCTCCTTGGGCAGGTAACGACCCAAAGCCACTGGCCTCAGTGTTCTCTGACCGGTGGGGGTGACCGTGTCCCCCCTTGTGTGTGTGCTGGTTGTGTTTTAGGTGACAGTGGCTAACGAGCTCCAGACACCCCCAGTGAGAAAGAAAGAGGAGGGGCCCCGTCCTGTCATCACTGAGGGCGACGGAGCCTCGTAAGGCCCGTCCTCACCGCGGTCTCGCGGCTCCACAACCCGGCTAAGTCCCAGGGCCCTGAAGTGGCCACTGTGGGTCAGGGGAGTGAGGTCGCCACCTCTGCCCGGCACCCCTTCCCGCCGGCCAGGCACCGCCGTCTCCTGGTTTATCAAGGAGACAAGAGCTTCCCTCCTTTGGGAAAACGGAGAAGCGCGGCCAGGCCCCCGGCAAAGGCCACTTCCAGGCACTTGCCACCTCCTGAACCGGCCTGCTCGCGCCTGCCTGGCTGCAGGCCCGTGGCTGCGGGGCCCTCAGCCCGCCCCGGCCCCCCGCCTCACGCCACGGCCGAGGTTCCTTCCCTGCCTTCGCCTTGTCCTGGAGAATCGGGCCTCGACCGCGAGACAGGCCGGCTGAGAACGTCTAGAAACTGCTTCGGACACACGGTCCACGAGTCCAGATAACGCAGGAAAACGGCTCAGCAATAAAAGGGAGCAAAGTGCGGCTCGTGCGCGAGCCGGGCCATCGCGCCCCAGGGAGAAGCCGCCCGACGCACCCATTTCTAGGAACCATGAGCCATTCTGAAAGGCGACACCCAGAGACGGGGTGTCGGCCCGTGGCTGCCCGCTGGAGGCGACCGCCCACGGCAGGTGCCCGGCCCGTGTCGGGGCCGCGGGGACGTTCCCCAGGCGGAGGGTGCCCGCTGCACAACTCGGGAATTTACTAAAATGCGTTCAGTTATTGGCTTAGGACGAATGTTCTTACAGCACGTAGCTCAGACCTCAGGAAAGCCGTTAACACACGTGACAAGCGGTAAATAGCAGAAAATCTCAGAAAGTCATTCAGTGGATGGCATGAGATGCCAGCATTTGCCAGAATGGGGGCTCTTCCCAGCAGGTGCGTAGGAGCATGCGTGTGCTGTGTGCATGTATGTGAGTGTGTGTGTGCCTGCGTGTGACCGCGTGTGGGGGACGCAGCCTCGGTGACCGCGAGAGCAGCCCGTGTCTGCCCGGCGTCCTCTCCTGCCGCACTGACCCTTTCACTGGCCTCGCTGGCCCTTTGGGGAGCTGGCTCTTAGGGTCACAGTGACCCGTTTCGGGAATAACGCCTCTGAGTTCCGAGGCCGAGCAGCTGAGTTAGTGGCATGGGAGACACGGAGCACCGTGCGCGTGGAGGGGGCAGAGGGCGCCCCGCTCCCACCACCCGGAGCCCCACCCTGAGGCCGGGCCCTGCGGGGGTGGAGGTGAGGCACATGCCCACCCCCCGCCCGGGCCTCGGCTTCCGCCCCCGGTGCCTGCCTCGTCCCTCACAGAGGGGGGACATGTGGACCCCAGACTTGGGGAACCCAGAACTGGGGGCCCCGTGGGCCAGAACACAGAGGTGTCAGCGGTGGACGGAGCTTGGTGTGTGCTCGAAACTGCCCCCGGACAGCGGGGCTCCCCTGCCGCGGGGCCCAGGAAGACGTCCCCGTCCTGGGACAGCCCCTCTCCTCCAACAGCCGGCAGACGGTGCCGAGGCTGCGGCGCTGGGCCCCTGCCTGAGCGCAGCTGCTCACAGCGGGGCGAGGCCGGGTGCGCTGGGGACACGGGTGCTGCTGCTGAGCCACCGCCCGGTCACAGTCCCAGCTCCGGCAACTGGGAGAGCGGAGGACCCGGGGTCACTCCAGGTCAGTCCTTCCAGGAGCTCCCAGAGGGGGAGTGGGAGAAACAGTTAATTACAGCGGGTGGGGGTGCCGGTGCGGGTGGGGGGGCCGCCCCGCCTCCCTTGCTCCGGGCGCCCCTCCCTCTCAGCCCAGCTGGAGAGCAGATTCTTAGAATTCTCTCCTGCCTCCTCTGTGACTGACAGCCGCCTGCGCAGACACTGACCTCCGGCCACCGTTAATTTAGGATTTAAAGGTCCCGGCCCAGAAGGAAGCAGTTAGCTGTAAACAGGCTGCTATGTCAACGGACAGAATTCTAGACACACAGACGGGCCTCCGAGCTCCCTCCCCTCCCCTCCCGC